TCTGTCCCAAGATCTTAAATACTATACCTGTTTCTTTATTACAGTAGTATAGAAAAAGGCTCTTCATGAAGCAATCCACTGGGGATAATGCTGATAGAAATGAAGCCAGATAAGCAGAACAGCTATTCCAGCTGCTTAGGAACCAATGCTATATCCTGAAGCAAGAGGATTTCACCATATGCCACACATACGCATCCTGCAACCCACAGGTGACCCATGGAAACCTTCAGTGTGATCCATGCAAGTTGTCCAACGTATGAGCTCCTCTACCCAATCTTCCTGCAGACATTGTCCCTCTAGCCTGTTGCTCAGCAATCCAGTGGGCAAGGGGCACCATTCTCTTGGGAAGCTGGCAGTTCTGGCTATATAAATTAGTATGCAGCCCCTAACCAATCACTACACATAGCCAACAAGACAAAAGATTGGCTATTCTTCCCCTACATAGATGATGTAAAGCAATGGTGGTTAGGTTTCTTCCCCCATCCATAATCAATTACGACCGTAGCCATTTTTGCAAGAGGGAGATGCCAACTTGCAGAAGAGCCCATTCAGCCAGGCAGTATCTATTTCTGAGCCACTGGTGCAACAGATATTACATCTATTAGATGTTTCTTTACTTCTAAATTTGCACAGAAAGGCACTCATCACACTTTTATCCAGTTTTGCACAGACCTGAGAGAAAACATGCAGCTGACTTTCCTCCACATATTCCAGATTGTATTAAATATCTTCATAAATCTCTCTCTCTCTTGCAGCTTAAAAACATGTTGCATGTATAGGTTTCAGGTGAGGCAACATCAAATACTGAACAGAAGTGACTATCACTTCAAGAAAGGGAACCTGTGACTCTATAACCCATTCAGAATTCCTATTAAATGTTTGTTTACAGATGTTTAAAAAAATCACACACAAATAATGTAAATCAAAGAAATTCCCAAAATAAATTCACACTGTGCTTGGTAACAAAGAATAGAACCTATTAGCATTAAGAAGTGCTAGGGTTTAAAGAGTGCAAGTCATAAAGCCGGAGGTGTTAAATGGACTGAGATCAAGAACAGCCCATTCTAAGACAGGCCTTTGCTTGTTGGACTATGCCTTCTATTGTCCTTACTGTTTTAAGGGTGCATGAACTGAAGAAAAAATAATTGCTCTGAAATCCTTTGATTCAACTGAACAACAAACCTCAGTAGCAGATCTTCAAGCATCTAGGGCAGTGGTTTCCAACCTTGGATAACCCAGGTGTTCTTGAATTGCAACTTCCAGAAACTCCAGTCAGCGTAGCTGCTGGTGAAAGCTTCTGGAAATTACACTCCAAGGATTACCCAATGTTAGCAATTACAGCACTGAGTTAGGGAATCAAAGCATGCTCTCTACTTCACATGAAATGAAAGTCAAACTGATTGGTGACTCAAGAGTTGTTCTTTGTAGTCTAGGATCACTTCATTTTACATATATGTCAACATAAGCAGATTTCAAATGCATAAATGTGATGAGATGCTCATATCCAGAAAGATGTACCCCCAAGAGGAAAGAGAAGCTACACTATGCCATGTAATGCAGCAGTCAGCATAGAGAGCAAACCAGGAGAAAGATTCCATATTGCATATGCTGGCAGGGCGTTTGTCGATCACCAAGCAAATCTGGAAGGGGGAGGTATATATAGATGCTTCCCTTTGGTTATCTGGCACACTACGACAGAGTCCTAGTTATCTTTGTTATAAGCTCAGGTTACTCTGCAGTTGGAATAACAACGTAGAGAAGCAGCCCTGTATTTAGACCCCATGACAGTGAGCCAAGAAGTGCAAGTACATGCTAGTAACTGCATTCTTGATCCCTCACCCATGCCAAATGAATTTTCTGCCTTTTGAAGGATCAGATGGGTCTGTGTCATACAAATTGCATTTTTTGCCATAAAAGTCCTTATGTGGTGATGTCAAAATACAGCCTGAATTACTCAAGGAAGTAGGTCTGGGTTAGGAAGGAAGTCACAAGGCCAAGGCTGCAGAATACTGATAGTGTTGCAATAACAGCCAAGGCGCAAATCCAAAACTAAGCTAGCAAGGGACCTCTTCTTCGGATTTATACAGAAGCAGAGCTCCTTGACTTTTTAGCACTAGCATAGCAGTCAATTGACCAGGCAAACACTGGCAGTCAATCAGCTGCCTGCTAAGAAAATGGGAAAATGCATATGGCATTAGTCCTTCTAGCTCACTGGTTCCCTTTAGTTGGAATTCTACAGGTGAGAGAAGATAGACTGGTACCTACTGGTAGTTCTTGGCACAATCTGCAGTAGAGAGGCAAAAAATTATGCTCTCAAGAGATGTGAAAAAAAAGGAAAAACATAAGAGAGAGAGAGAGAGAGAGAGAGAGATTCAACAATTAAGGGGAAACCGTTGAACTGTATTTTAATTCTCTCTCCCCTATCAGTTTTCCCAGTAAGAATACTGGGTGAAGAGTGGGAAAAAATTCTATGAAATATTTCTACATCTGGAATTAGTGTCCTTCCAGGACAAAGCTTTGCTCACTTACAAACTGAAGTCTTGTGTGAGGGTCCCCTTCGACGGAGTATTTGTTCTTGTAAAGGCTCCATGTTTTTTATCTGTATTTTTTCCCACCTCACCATTCATACAATAGACCTCTTATTACCTACAGTGCTTTCCCCATAACCATCTGCTCCTTTTTGTCCCTCTAGGACAGGGGTGGGCAATTAATTTCTATAGGGGGGGCACATGAAAAATCTGAACTGTGTTCGGGGGCCGAACCAACTTTACTTAAAAATAAAATGAAACAGTGATGTTATGATTGTTTTTATTTTAAACTCGTTAATCTTCACAAATACTAAAGAGGGTTTTTGCCCTCTTTAGATAAAGATAAACAACTGATCAACTTTGGAGAAAAAGCTATACAGTAAATGGTTTTGGTGTTCAAAACTGTCCGCGGGCCGAACAGGAGCAGCTTGTGGGCCGTATGTGGCCCTCGGGCCACACTTTGCCCAGGTCTGCTCTAGGAGGCTTAGTTTATTTCAGTAATGCTTTGTAGCAGGGGGCAGGGTTTAGTGCTATGATACTTCCCATTTCAAGCTGATTTCCAAAGCAAGAATCTCCCAGCTGGAAGCTTTCAATTAGCATTCAAAACAAACAAACTAAAAGCTAATTCAGAGAAGTCAGTTTCTTTAGCTTTTTTTAAAAGAGTGGTAACAGATTTTCAATGAGAAAAGAAATGGATCCTGAAGTTTGGACATAAATTCCAGCAAGGTTCCCTCTGAGAACACCTACACACATGTGCACAACTCTGCCCCCCTCTCCGCAGGGCTTCTCCTCCTCAACGCACTCATGGCGATCATTTTCAGCCCCTTTAGTTCCTGTTGCAAAGGAAACCTGCACAGGGGTGGGGGGTGGAGTAACACAAGAGGGGCAGAGCCCAGCCCAGCAGGGCTAAAAATTAGAAGGAACCTTGCATTCTAGCAAACTCCGCATTCCTTCAGGATGTGTGTAGAAGAACTGCTCCATTTAGAAGACAATAATAGATTAAATGAGTTGGAAGGGGTCTAAAAGGCCATCAAGTTCAATCCCTGATCAATGCAGGAATCTAAATCAAAGCAGATCTGACAGATGGTTGTCTGATTTTCCCTTGAATGTCTCCAGCAAAATCAGCAACATTAGAGAATAATATTTCTTATATACTGTAGACATCCGTGATTTCAATGACGTACGTCTGACCTGCTATCCAAATATAAGGGTGGTGGCAATTTTGGCAAAACGCTTTGGACTTTCATTTTGGCATTTAAGATTTGCTTCTAATTGCTGTGCTAAAGACTGACTTTTGAGAGACAATTTGGCAAATGGGTTGGCTGAAATAATTAAAATGCCAGAAAATCTCCTACCAGTATACTACTAGTTCCTCACAACACTACTAACTGTTTGATTACAGTTACACTTTCCTTTGTTACTAGAGAATGTGTGGTTTCGGTTTTCCCCTCATTTTTTCCCACTTCAAAGATGGAAGCAATAAGGATAAAGTTTAGCTCCCACCTAGTCTTAAAATTAGAATAATTCACTGCAGGTTCTAAAAGTTAACTACTGTACAGTAAAACAGAAATTCATTCACATCCACCATCATCTCTCTTTATGAATAGAAAGATCCATTGTGTTGTTAAAGATATTTTGACCACTGTTTGACAGTATCTGGTTTGTTCCCTAGGTAAAATAATAATTTTGACTAGTCAAATGTCCAGTCTTTACTGAGAAATATACCATTCCCCCACCCTGCCATTCATTTACTCTGATCTTCTAAGTGTGCCTTGCTGTCCCTCCTCAACATACTGTTCTTCCTACAGCATCTCTCCCAACTCATCTGGAGACAAGGGAAAGTCACAATAACAACTTCTGGCATTCCGCTGTAGTCAAAAGAAGCAGGTCTGCCCATAAACACATGTTGCTTAGCTAAATTCATATGCTCTCCTTCCAGCACTCCCTTGGGCACCCTAGGGCGTAGGAGGAACAAAATGGGCAGGAGGGATCTTGCCCCATAAACACGCCAGAGCATGCTGCTTTGAAGCTGCCAAGAAAAACTGCCACTGTGCAAGTATGAGTAATGGTGTCTCCTGCACAGAGGCTCTCAAAGAACGCCCTCTGAAGTCTCTACAGCCATAGCACCATCCACAAGAGCAAGACAACCTGGTGCTATTTAATGCAAATATTCTCCCAGAATCCAAGGACCATTCCCAAGGGACAGCAGAACTCTGTGGGATATGAATGTTGCACGCCAGTTTCTCAAAACTCTCTTCAGGTCTTTGGGAGCAGCACTGCTGTGTAAGCACACAAGGCCACTTTCCAAAGCCTTTCTTGTCCCATCTGTGTCTGTACCAAGTAATCAGGCTAGGCCAGGGTTTCCCACATCCCAGTCAAATAAAAACTGATAGGGGTCCCTCTTCCTGGACAGTTTAGCCACCCACCCAAGGGAGGGAGTGTGGGACTCTTCACCACCCCACCCCTACTCACCACTCTCCATCCTGAGCACCATGCTGCCAGGGGCACAGAGACGCTGCAGGCCACTCTCAATGTCCGTTCCAAGGGAGTTGTGACTTGACTGGGGAGATACCTGCGTGTCTGACTTGCTGACTGGCTGCTGCTTCCTGGAATGAGTCAGGTCTTGCCTCAGCGAATGGGTGGCTCTTGCCTGGGACGGATAAGCGTCATTCATTACTGTCCTGCCTAAGACTGAGATAACTAGCAACGCCCTGTTCCTGTGCTGAGCCTTCAAGGTTTGGGAGGGCTGTTAACCTTTGACAACCCTGGTAAGAAAGACCGGAGACCACAAAGCTTAGCTCTCAGTGCTATTACATCAGGCAAGAACAGTACAGTATGTTGAGGAGGGACAGCAAGGCGCACTTAGAAAATCAGACTAAAACTAGAGAAACCCAGGTCCCCTTGGCTGCTGAACCTGGAAGTTCTCTGTATGACTTTGAACCAATGATTTTCTCTCAGACTAACCCTGAAAGGCAAAATAAAATGGAGTAGTACTCTGAACATCTCCTAGAGCTCCATGGAAAGTGGGATATATTTGTAGTAAATATATATATAAATGGCAAATGCTTTAATCCACCCAACAGGGCACATTGTTAGATCGCTTCCTGAAACAGCACTTGCACAGGCGGGCAAAGAAGAGGCTTAAATATGTAACATTTTAAAAGGCAGCTTATGGGCACAGCTCAATCATATTGAGTTCTTAAGCAAAAGGAAGCAGGGGCCCAGTCTGGGAAGTATTTTGTTTTGGATGACTGGATGTGTGATCAGACTATCTCCAGGGCATTTCTGTCCATATCTCTCTGGGTTTCTCCTTTTTTTGATACAGGGAGGATCATTCTACTTTGGTCCGTCTCCCGTGCATATGATCACTGGAAATGGACCAAAGGATGCTTTCCTCTTTCAGTTTGCCAATATTGTGAAGTGGCTTAACAAGAAAGCCACTTCATCATGCAGACAAGTTAAACACTTTCTTGGCTCAATGGAAGTGTTTAATTCCTGAAGGCAGCTACCTTGTACTGCCTTTGGAAAGCCAAACCCTCCTGTGCACATGTGCATGCACCTTTGTGTGTGTACATATATGCGTCTGTCTGTGTGCCTGCATGTATAGCTTGGCTTGGCATTTTTTAAAAGGACAAGTAGAGCAGCAGCAGCAGGAAGAGTTGTTGTAAGCCATCCAGAGACCTTTGGATAGAGTGGGCGGCATAGAAGTTAAATAAATAAATAAAAGAAATAAGAGGAGACAGAAGGGTTATTTCCAAAGACAATATGGGGAGACATCCTGCACGTATGTGTGCCTTGCCTTGGCTTTTTAAAAGGTGCAAACTGAGCAGTGGTGGTGACAGGAGGGGCCTTTTGGTTTGCTTTTCTCAACTGGCTCTTTAAGAAAAAAGAGAACAAAAATCCCACTCATTGCCCTCTCCGTCTTCTCCCACCTCTGACAGTGAGCTGACGGGGCCAAATAGAGTCACTTCAGCTCTGTATGCCATTTGGATGTGAAGACTGCACAAAATGGCATACCAGACCTCCAAGGAACCTATTTTACCTGCTCCAGCCCACTCCAAACCGGGTGTGTAGACAAGCCCTTAACAGAAGTTCTCAGACCAGCCAAACACACTCCCATTCAGGGAATGGGAATGCTTGGAAACTTGCAAAGTAAAAGCAGACACCACTGTGCAACTCTTTCTAATGACTGGAGCCTTCCATTTCTACCACCCTGCCCTCTTCCAGGCACTGGAAAGCAAGATACTGTATATACAGACCCTGTTTTCATCTTTTTACCTTCCCAAATTGTTCCAACCACATGGCTTGCAAAGTAGGGGGTCAGAAAATTCAGTAGATGTAGGGGGAAGTGTGCCACACCAGCCACCCTGAAGTAGTTCTAGCACACTAACATCCTGAAGTGCATCCTAAAGTTGTACTTCGCTGGGAGGAAGATAGAGAGCTGGACTCCAACACAGTTCAGCAGAGAAGAATATGAACAGCTACATTTCTCACTCTAGTGCAACAAAGGATATTCCCCTATTCCTTCGTTCTTCAAGAAACACAAACCTATTTTCCCCCATCTTGAACTATATTGTTGTCTTTTATTTTACTATATTGTTTTTATTCCATTTTTATTGTTAGCTGCCCAGAGTAGACTTCGGTCTAGATGGGCGGGGTATGTATGTATGTATGTATGTATGTATGTATGTATGTATGTATGTATGTATGTACGTACGTACGTACGTACAAACAAACAAACAAACAAACAAACCACATCTTTCTTTGAAGATGACCACTGTTAACACAGGACTAGATAACTTTGTGCCCTTCATTTGACAGTGCCCTTTAGAAAGATGTTGGCAACGTTTAACATAAATGTTATAAATAAAAATGTAAATTATAAATACTTTAGCCCAATACTGTAGTATATTATCAGAACTCCGAAGAGCCTGACAATTCCTAAAACAGCATTGCGGGAAGTGAAGGAAGAGCCTTGCTATGATGATTCCCCAAAGCCACAACCTCCATGGCCAACAATCAGAGATTAGGGAACCTATATATGAAGGGTCAGTGTTTGCCTAGCCCTGCCCTTAGAAGCTGCCACAATACTTTCTTCCAATGAACTCTGAATGCCATGGAACCTCAAGCAAGAGTTAGGGGCTGTCTCCCTGTAACTCCACCATTACTGAAAGGACTGCAATTTTTCTGCTATCAATTGGCTATGAGGTCGGAGTCCCCCAGGATATGTAGCAAGTGCATAATAGCTTGGTGGTAGGTATTTTAGAAATTTATTTCATTACAGGTTGTCCTATGTAGTAACTGCCATTCAAAAGTAGGGAAGAGTTAGACTTGCACTGCCCCCTCCTTGTCAAAGAAAGCCATTGTTCAAAGCAGAGCCTCCTTTGTCTTTAAACTGTTGAACCAGTAGAGGACAGCACCGAACAGAAATTATGGTAATAGAACAGACTCTTGGTCTAGCAGAAATAATATAACCTTCCTGCCTTAAGATTCCTGCAACTTAACTCATGCAAACTACAAAAAGGAATTACACAGATTCATGTGCCAATAGCTATTTGTATAAGAAGGGATGTCAGCCCACATTAGTGAATCATTCTGGAATCACCCTCTCATTCTGGCTAGTTTAGCACCAGATCTTAACTTGCCCGCTAGCATCACATCCAGACAGCTGCCAAGGGCATCCAGATGAGGGAAATCCCTGGTGCACAAAAAATAATAATAATTAGCAAGCCAATCAAACACAGTTTTTGAATCAGATACAACATGGAATATATGTTCCGGTTTTTGAATCAGATACAACATGGAATATACCGTAACTTCCAATGCCACATACAAGCATCCCTTTTCTTTGACAGCAGGGGACATTGTCAAAAACAGCTCTGCCCTTGTTCCTCATTACTTATTTCCTAGCTTGGTTCTATTAACACACCATCTCTTTTTCTCTACCTGTAACTGTTCCGTGGCACAGCCAGTGATGTGATGTGCTATACAGGACTTCTAGACCAGACGTGAGAAGCCTGGGTTCAAATGCCCACTCAACCATGAAAGTCACAGGGTGACCTTGGACTAGTCACTCTCTTTCAACCTAACCTACCTCATAGGACTTTTGTGGGGATACAGTATGAAGGAGAAGAACCATGTGTACCACCTTGGGCTCACTGGGGGAAATGCGAGATTAAAAATGAAACGAATGAATTAATAATAAACCCTACCCAAGCCAACAAGGAAGATTTGTGGGAAATGTCCCTTCTAGAATTCATAATAAAACCAGACGTAACTGCTGAAACATGGCTTGGGAAGTTATCTGCAGCTCCACATCCAGTCAAAAGCAGTTCCCAGGCAGACCAAGAAAGAAAACAGAAGTTAATAAATAACTAAGGAGCTAACATAGGCTTGCCTATGGCCCCTCTATTTTTTAGATCTGAACTGAAGCTGAGGGAAAATAGGAGGAAAAAGCATCAGTAGGCTCCTGAAGGCCCTTAGACTTTAGGAGATTGTAATGGGAGCTGAAGCTGCAGGGGCCAGCAGCAAAGAGGAAGAATAGACATTAGAAGGATGGATATTGGCAATCTGCTTTCAGATTAAAGATCTTTGTATACCCCATTTACTGAAACATTTGCTGGACACATGATGAGGCTTTTAGCTACAAACAGCCTTCTGCTTACTCCACGAAGTTGCCAGAACAGAGGGTTCAAGGCACCTCACGGAACTTCCTGCCTTCTGCTGTTATTGCCACCACATCCTGTTTCCCTGATGGTAGCTGCCTTCTACAGTTGCATGACATAAACCTTCATGCTGCTAGGAAAGGGCCACCAACTCCAAAGCTGGCAGGCCTACCACTTAAACAGCAGTGAAGGCTTCTCCACAGATGTCTTTACCAGAGAGAAACATGAGTACATGTGTACGTGCCAACACGTGTGCGTGTGTGCACGCTATTAGACAAGTGCACACTTCTTTCCACTCATAGCTGAGGCATAGCAGTCCCAAAAGAATACTGCCTGTCGTTCCTTAGCTGTACAGAGCAGAGCCCCCGTTTCCATGGAGACCACCTGGCTTCCATTTCCCCCAATTCCTGCCAAGCCAGAATCTCCTTCAGTCTGGCTCTTGGGCTGAATCTGGGAAATTGCTGTCCCCAGCCTAAACAGTCTCTTAGATTCTTCCTCCCATAACTTTGTGACAAACTCCAACTGTGCTCTCTTTTGCAAGCAGCTCAGGGGGGAAGGAGATCCTCTTAAAGACGCACACAGGCCTGGCAACTGCCAGTCATTGCTCTATTATGTAGTGCTGCCAGACTGCATGTTGCGGCTCAGACTGTTGAAGTCTTATTCCTATCAAATAATATTCTAGACAATAACATCTGTTTATGTGAGAGTAGGTTATGTGCCCTTTTGAACCGCACTGAATATTTCATTTTAATCTGTAGAGTTCTGTGTTACTTGAAAGCTGACCTGCTGCTAACCTAATAAAAGATTTCACTGCTCCTGTTCCACATTTCAGGCTGTTACGACCTTTCTGCATGACCAAAAAGAGTGTAAGTTTGAAACCTGCAGCATTTACAAAAACAAAGCAACTGTCTGTAGGAAGCAAGGCAACTGTTATAAAGGTGTAGCAAATGTACAAACATAGATGATGTTTCTAGAAATGTGAACA